CACACACACACACACACACACACACACACACACACACACACATACACACACACACACCTTACCTCAGCCTGCCCGGTGCCAGCCTCTCCTCACTGTTCTGGTGAGGCCTGACTAAGAACTCTGCTTTCCTTTCTTTCTGAGGATGGGAACTTGCATCTGGCCTGAAGACCACGCCATCTGCCCTCCCTCTCCCCCCAGGGCCCAGTTATGAGACCGCCTTTTAGGTTCAGCCAGCGTCTCTCTCGAATTCAGACCCAGACAGCTGTGTTAATGTCAAAGCCCCCACGGGAGGGTTCTAAGGCCTTGGGGCTGCTTGTGGCAGGGGTTTCAATGTGTCTGGACTCTCCCGTGCTTGAGAATGGAAACCGTCCGGAGCCCTTGGAAAGGTTCCTCTTCTTGACTTTCTGCGAGCGTCCTGCTCGTGCTTCTGAGACCATGGGTGTCATCCAGCCTGGCTTCTCCTTGAGCAGCCTGTCTCTGTCAGGCCGCACGCTGCGCAAGAACTTTCTAAAAATGTTAGCTGTTAGGGCAAACTTGCGACCCAGCTCCCGAGACTGGCTTTTTTCTCCTTTGGGCTCTCTGGGTTCCCCAGTCTCACTCTTCTCCCCGCCCTTTTCCAGTTCTGGTAAGTCTAGCCAGTTGCCCACCAGGTCTGCAAAAACATTGTCCCCTAATACCAGAGGCTGCCGATTTCTGCCCCGTGACATCAACGTAGAGGTCCAGTCATCTGGTTCCACCCACTCCTGCCCTCTTTGGGTACCGCTTTCGTGCTCAGGCAGCTGTGTCTTGGGAAGGACCGCAAGATCCTCCCCACAGACAGTCCTTTGGCTTGGAAACTTGGGGCTGCTGTCAAAAGAAGGCTGACTGGAGGAAGGACAGGCCACAGATCTGGTAGGACTGTCCCTACCCTGCCAGCGGGGGCACTCGGGCTGTTTCTGTGAGCTCTCGGAGCAGCTGAAGGCCGGCGCGCCTCCAGAAATCTCCAGTTGTTCCAAGGCTGTCTGCACCTGGAGGAGCTTCAGTTCTTGCAGCGCGCCCATCATGCAGTTCATCTGATCCTGTAAGCCATCCCCCACCTCTTTCATGGACATCTGCAAGGAGAGAAAACACAGGGCCAGTGAACGCTAGGGCTTCAGGGAGGGTTACCCCTCAACCTTGAGCCTCAACCTGCTGTGGGGCAGACCTGTGTGGTGAAAGGAGGAATCCGAACACTGCTATGGCTGGTTAAGAGAAACAGCATTAGCCGACAGTGAACTAACCAAGACAGGCACTGTCCTAAAAACTGTTCCGATGTTCTGTCACTTGCTAAATCCACATTACACTGAAATTATCACTAAGTTGAAAAATGCATTCAATACACTTAGGCCATCAAACTTCACAGTTTGATCTACGTCAAAGTGCTCAGAACCTATACTATCCTACAGATGGAAAACCTATCCAATACAAATCCTAGTACATGATAATGAAGTATTGACAGAATTACTGCACTGAACACACACACACACGGGGGGGGGGGAGGGAGAGGGGGGGGGAGAGAGAGAGAGAGAGAGAGAGAGAGAGAGAACATCCGGCCATGGTAGCTCACACTTGTATTCCCAGCACTAGCTTTGAATTACAGCATGTAGGAGTTGAAGCAGAATTACTGTGAGATTATAGACAGCTAGGAATATGTAGTAAATTCCAGACCAAATCAATCAATCAACCAATCAATCAATCAAACAAACAAACCAACAGAAGTTGTAGACTGGCATTTTATGTGTTTTGTTGGTCAGTTGCCTGGTGTGTGTGTGTGTGTGTGTGTGTGTGTGTGTGTGTGTGTGTAGACATATGCATAAAGATGCATATGTGTATGTATATATCAGCTTATATTAATAAATTACTCTATGTAATCCACCTGCTTTTTGAGATTGTGACTATTGCTTCCGTCTGACAGATAAAATAACTTCTAAGTTCCATAAGTGATTAGTAAAGGATGGAGCTGAGTTTAGTCTGGGGGTATACAAAGTGGTAGTAGTGAGGTCAGAGAGATGGCTCAGAGTTTAAGGGCTCTTGCTGCTCTTCCAGAGGACCCAGGTTCAATTCCCAACACCCACATGGCAGCTCACAACCATATGAAACTCCAGTTCCAGGGGGCTTTGATGCCCTCTTCTGGCTTCCTCAGGCACTACACACACATAAGGTATAGATTAAACATTCAGGCAAAATACCCATGTACATCAAATCATAATTCTTTTAAAAACGATAAAAGCCACTCTTGTCCTATGCTGTTGTTTCTTAGTGGGTAATGGTGGCAATTAGCATCTAAGAACATTTACTTTGTAATGGGAATCATGCTACATACAGTAGTTATCTCATTCAGTTTCTATAAACTCTGGAAGGCTGCTCTTCTCACGTCAGCAAATGAGTAAGCTGGGGCAGGAGGGAAGCAAGGGACAAAAGGCCATGCAGCTCTTAGAGCCAGGACTCAAGCTAGCAACTATTGCCTGCAGATGGCTGGGCAACTGGGCCAGACTTGAAGGCTACTCTGTCCTCTATAGAGCAGTAGGAATGAGGAAGGGGAATAAGAGAGAAAGCGTAAGCCTGGGGGGCTTCTTCTAACTGTCCTTCACATGTGACTGGTCGGGAGAGAGATGCCAGAGAACTCCTTTGTGCCAGAAGCCCCAGGCCAGCCCTGCTCCGCCCCCCCCCCCCAAGCACCTGTTCCCTCATGCTTGGATCTAGCATTCTTCCTGCCTTCTCAGCCTTGCTGGCTCTGTACTAGCCATGCCAGAAGCAGGAATTCTGGGGCCAGTTCCCCTAGCCCCATGTCCTAGGTATCATCTGGAAGGGGCTGAGGGGCTGACTGACTTGGGTGAGGGCCCTACTTGGAGCCTGGGGAGGAAAGACCGCCCTGATAACATTCACAAAGTTCCTAGCCCCTGTGCCCAAGTTGCCTTGGGCCTGCCAGCTCCCTCCCCACATCCTGATCAAGTTACTCACAGCGAGCCTCTGTTCGGGAACCATCTGTTTTTCAGCCCCCCCCCCAGACCCATAGGATCATCTTACCTCCCAGGCTTGTCTTAATGCCCAGAGCTAAGGCCAAGGGGTGGGGGCGGGGAACTAAAATAGTGGGGGACACAGAGGCACTGGAGAGTGGGCTGTCAACTATCCCTCTGTGTCTTCTGGATCAATCTCCTGCCATCCCTAGCCTGGTGGGGAGATATCTGTCCAAGCTCCCTTGAACCAGCAGCAATAAAGGTCAGTGGAGGACTGTCAGCCCCTGAGGGCCAGGAGGCCTTTGCTGGGCTGCAGAGATTGCCCTTGCTTTGTGCACTTTCCTGAGACAGGGCAAGAAACGGCACAGCCCAACAGCCCTGGGATTGACTGGGGCACATATGTGCCATTTGAGTGGCAGGAGTGGTGGCACAGTGGTGGCAGGAGACACATGTCCTTGGGGGCCCTTGTCCTGACCCCTTCCTTTCAGAGATGCTCAGCCACTATTGGTATAGCTCTGAATGGAACTGGAGATTCTGGGACGCAAACCCACTCAGCTCCTTCCTGACAAATTGCTTATCCTCCAATTACCTTCTTCGCCCCCACTCTCTGATCTACTCTCCTGTCACCTGGAACATCTATTCAGTCACTCTGTTCCCGTCTAATGTAGTCCTGCACTGGGCTCCAGGCCACCAGAACCATGAGTACCCGGCCACTCCTCTAGAGGCCCATCTCCATCCCATCACCTCATTCAGAGGCTTTCTATTGCCGAAACTCAGTTATGAGTCTCCAAACTATTGTGACTTCTAGTCAAGACCCATGATGGAGCCGGACGGTGGGGGCGCACACCTTCAATCCCAGCACTCGGGAGGCAGAGGCAAGTGGATCTCTGTGAGTTCGAGGCCAGCCTGGTCTACAAGACCTAGTTCCAGGACAGGCTCCAAAGCTACAGAGAAACCCTGTCTTGAAAAACAAAACAAAACAAAACAAAAATTTAACTCCAGGAATTTGAATCCATGTCTCATAGATGTTCCCACTATGTTCCTGTTAGGGCCTCCTCTCAGATCCTTGAGGTATGTATCCCCAAAGTCCTACTTCTGTACAGGGCCCATGTCTTCCATGGTTTAAATGCTCAGTTATCCGTGAAATATTTATGGAGTGTCTACTGAGTAAAGGTAGAGCCTTAGATCTGCACATCACTATATAACCCCAGAACCTACCTGCTACTTCACATGACACTCATAAACCATGGATGGAAACTACTGGCTCCCCTCCCATATCATCCCTCTAAACTGTTTGCTACCTGAAGTCTCTTGCTAGGCAGGGAGAGTGAGCCAGGGCCATTTCTTTCTCGAGGTTTTGATTTACCAAGCAACAAGGAGTCTAAGCTGGCAGGCTTTCTTCCAGAAGGAGGAATACAGTCAGGCCAGAGGTAGTGGGAAGAATGAAATGACCCCATTCAGTCTTCCAGTGTGGAAAAATCCATAAGAAATAATGCTGACATTTTGTAGGTTTCTAGCGAGATTGAATGTGGGTGGGAACGTATAAATTCAGGGTTGTCTGTAAGACAGAGTCTCTTTTTTTAAAGAAAACAAGAACTGAAATTGTCTCCTTATTGAAAATATTCTGTATTAGTTCAGAACGTGGAGTCTAGAAACTAAAGGAACAGAGTTCAAATCCCAGGTCTATCGTATAGTAGCTGTATTTTAAGTTTTCTGTGAGGTCTTGTTGTGTTTATTGATTTGTTCTGTTTTCTTAGACAGAGTCTTGCTATACAGCCCATCCCTGCTTCAAACTCAAAATTCTCCTACCTCAGCTCCCAAGTATTGACATTCTAGGGATGAGTTATCACACCCAGCTCAATTTCTCATCCACTGGAGGTGATCTTGAAAATCTTATTCTCTGGCTCCCAAGTGCTGGGACTATAGGTTTGTCTTCCAAGCCCAGTTTTATGCAGTGCTGGGAATCAAATCCAGGGCTTTGTCATAGGCAGGCACTCTAACAACTGAAGTTCATTGTCAGCTCTATCGCTCCATTCTTTAAAACAGGAATAAGAGTCCCTGCCTCAATAGCCACTGTGCAGATTTGATGAAGTAATGGTTTTTTCTACAGGGCAGAAAGAAAGCACCAAGTGCAAGCTGGCTGTTAAGACTTCCAATGTGTTTTCAAAATACTTCTTTGTAGTAATGGCAGGATTCCATGTATCATGGATGGTCTGACCTAGGAGAGCTCCTCTTTTGTCCAGCTCCTTATTCTCCAACCCAGCCTTACTCAGGCAGAGGAAGGGAGGAAGGGGAATCCCTGGCTTCCTCCTGACCCCTCACACTGAGTTCCAGAAGCCCCGTCTTAGGCAGAGGACATGCTGACACCGAAGGGAAGGCAGTTGTGAGAGGAATGAGAACAGAAGGAAGCTATGGGAAGCTGGGAGGGCCAGGAACAGTGGAAAGAGGAGCATCCTCCAGGCCACCACTGTGAGGGGAGCCAAGAGGACAGCCTTTCCCACCAACCCCAAGGGGATGATGTCATCCATGGAGAAAGAGCCAGAGACTGCACTGCTCTCTTTACTCAGAGCGTGGGACCATCTGGGATCCCAGGGCTTCTCTTGTCTTAGGACCAAAGTGGGAGGAAGGGGAGCAGTGTGCGGTGGGAGCAAAGGAGTGGGGTTAGCTTAGACAGCCAGAAAATAACTCTGAGTACCAGTCTTCATGTTGGCCGCATCTTAGTATTTCTGATTCATTCTTCCTGCAAGGATCAAGTCTTGCCCTACTTGATCTTGGGGTCAACTGGAGACATACTAAGAAGCTCTGATTGGTTCTCATCTGAGTAGAAATGACCCAACCTCACTCGCAGCTATATACCATCACACACAAAGTCCTTAAGCGTACCCCAGCGAAATGTTTTTGATAAAGGCTCAAAGGTCTCCTCACCCCATCTATGGCCTCTTGTCATCTCCAGTCCGTGACTCACCTCCAGCCTTGCCGAGGATTCAGATTTTTATCTTATACATTTTCTGCATATCAGATTTTAGTCTTTCTAGCTGCCATCTACTCTGGCCTTCCTAGTGTGGTCAAGAGTCCCACGCTAAAGTTTGGAGACCCTAGTGGGGTCCTAACTGATA